GGAATGAATCACATGAAGTATGCAAATTCCTTGGGAAACAGGAAGACTTTGGGGTCACTGGACAATATTTCATCAGCAGCAGATACTTGAAAGCAAACAAGGAAAGCAAATATAAGAGTTTTAGTGGTGCAGGAAAATGCCACCGAGCAGATACAAAATAAAAGGCAAGTCCTCCTGTAACAGACAATAAATCATCAGCCTCATAAGGCCAGTATAGCTGAAAGGCATTGAAGAAACGATGTCAGAAATGGTGGAACCCTAACTTAGTTGACACACTTGGCTCTCTGTATTAACATTCCAGGACAGACCTTTACTGAGATTTCCATTAGAAATTCTTAACCTTCTACTACAAAATCTATTCAAGGTTAGTTGCAGTTTGGTTATTGCGCTACTATATAAGGAACTGCTCCATGCTAATTTGAACAATTAATGATTAGATTCTATATAGATTGTGCAGGAAGTGAGGACATGCCTTATTATCAGAACTGAGTAGTGGGTTCAAATGCAGGTTGCAGAGAAAATGTGACATGTCATAGAAATCCTCCCTCTAGTTATGAAGAATAATAAAACACTTATAGGGACATTTACACTGTAAGAACAACTACGTTTTAACACACCTTGAAATCAATGTTCTAATTTTTGGCCCTTCTGTGCAGGAGCCTCGCTCACTGCACACATGGGGAGGTGGGGGTTTCATCTGACACCAAAACTAAACACAGTGTTGGTGCGTAGCCCTGATGGAGCACCATGGGGAGCTTAGAAGGAAAGTCACAGTGTTGGTGCGTAGCCCTGATGGAGCTCTGCACCATGGGGAGCTTAGAAGGAAAGCTGCTTGAAATCATTGCAGATAAACACAATATAAATGTAAAACTAATTCCAATCTATTCAAAGCTAAAACGTTTCGAATAAATGTGATTTAAGTATGAGCAGCTTTACATATATTACCATCAGTGCTGAACAATTTAGCATTTTTACCTTCAACAGTAAAACAGAAACAAGCCTGCCAATCACATACAACTATAACATTCCTCAAGGTACCATTCCTCTGATGTTCTTGTTGTTTAGTCATTAAGTCATGTCCGACATTTCGTGACACCATGGACCAGAGCATGCCAGGCCCTCCTGCCCTCCACTGCCTCCCGGACTTGGATCAAATTCATGTTGGTAGCTTCGGTGACACTGTCTAACCATCTTGTCCCTCTGTCATCCCCTTCTCATCTTCCCTTCACGCTTTCCCAACATCAAGGTCTTTTCCAAGGAGTCTTCTCTTCTCATGAGATGGCCAAAGTATTGTAGACTCTGCTTCAGGATCTGTCTTTCCAGTGAGCACTCACAGTTGATTTCCTTCAGAATGGATAGGTTTGTTCTCCTTGCAGTCAAGGGGACTCTCAAGAGTCTCCTCCAGCACTACAATTCAAAAGCATCAATTCTTCGGTGGTCAGCCTTCTTTATGGTCCAGCTCCCACTTCCATACATCACTAATAGAAAAGCCATAGCTTTGACTATGTGGACCTTTGTCAGCAAGGTGAGGTCTCTGTTTTTTAAAATTCTGTCTAGGTTTGTCATCGCTTTCCTCCCCAGAAGCAGGCATCTTTTAATTTCGTGGCTGCTGTCACCATCTGCAGTGATCATGGAGCCCAAGAAGGTAAAATCTGTCACTGCCTCCATATCTTCCCCTTCTATTTGCCAGGAAGTGATGGGACCAGTGGCCATGGTCTTAGTTTTTTTGATGTCGAGGTTCAGACCGTTTTTTGCGCTCCCCTCTTTTACCCTCATTAAGAGGTTCTTTAATTCCTCCTCACTTTCTGCCATCAGTGTGGTATCATCTGCATATCTGAAGTTGTTGATATTTCTTCCAGCAATTTTAATTCTGGCTTGGGATTTATCCAGTCCTGCCTGCTGCATATAAATTAAATAAGCAGGGGCACAATATACAGCCATTCCTCTAGGCATGCCTAATCAGAAGTTCTACTGGACTCCAAAGATGGTTGGCTGATCACACTGGTAGAAAAGCTTTAGCCCAACATGACTGAAGAATATCAGATTGATAAAGAGTGCACAGAGAAAGAAAAACAGGGTGGTAGAACATCACAATTTCTAGAATCCCATATACTATTTATGCTTGCATTACAGAAATTGTGTTAAGTCTTGTCAATAAATTGCTACTCATTTTCAAGATGCTGACTGCGTTCCTGGCCATGTGCACAATCACATGATGGGACATCCAGGAACATGTCCAGCAACTCGGTGGCAATTTGCCACCAAGGCTTATGCAACTGCCGTTTTACAGGTTTAACACGCCAATACGTTTCCAGCCACTGATATGAAGGTTTCAAAAATGTAAAAGATCAAGATAGCATGAAAGTTAGGGATGTTCGTTAGCTTGGAAGTCCTCTCACCCCTACCATAATGTGCAGTAAGACCAAAGTTGATATCTCCTGGGCCACTACACACTACACTTGATCTTAGCCAAGATCAGAGAATGTCATCTTGATCCCTTGCTAAAGAGAAGGAGGATCTGGAACATGAAAGATAAACTGGACTTCCTGCCTCAAAGTACAAACCAGTATGTGATCGTGATCCAAAATGTCACCTACAGTGGTGCCTCGCATTACGATGTCAATTTGTTCTAGCAAAATCACTGTAGAACGAAAACGCCATAATGCAAAATTAAAAAGCCCATAGAAACGCATTAAACCCCGATTAATGCGTTCCTAGGGGCTTGAAACTCACCGTCCAGCGAAGATCCTCCATAGGGCGGCCATTTTCGCTGCCTGTGCAGTGAGGAATCTGTGCCAGAAAAGAGCGGGGAGCCATTTTTTTTAACCCGGTGGCCATTTTGAAACCGCCAATCAGCTGTTTTAAAATCGTCGTTTTGCGAGAATCGGTTCCCGAAGCAGGGAACTGATCATCGCAAAGCAAAATTCCCCCATTGAAACCATCATAAAGCGATCGTTTTTTGCGATCGCAAAAAGTTTGTCGTAATGCGGTTTCGTCATTAAACGGGGCGCCCGTCTTGTGAGGCACCACTGTATTTGCAATAAAGGTGACTAGATGCAGGGAGAAATTTAAGGACTCTGGACTAGAACCATTACCACCTGTAACTGATTAATCTATCTCATAAGTATTATTTCAAAGGTATCTAAAGTAAATGTATCTAACATGCATGGATATTTATTATGTCTCCCTTATTTTAACTGTTTTTAGTGTTATTTTAGGTCAGTCTGACTGATTGTAACTGTTTTATCTTGTCATGGTATTTTGCAATATATATGGTATTAACTTGCCATGGTATTTTGCAATAAATATTATACACACATGCATATACACATCTCCTGGGCCAATAAAAATCAATGCAACCTTAGTTGGAGCTAGTGAGCCACTGATCTGTGCCAGTCAGGGAGTCTTTATTTGAAAATCTACAGAAGTTGAGAAACACCTGTAAGAAAAGGTGCTATAAAAGAACCCAAAAAGTACCTTAAAAGTAAGGATGCTCTTGAGACCAAGATCATCTGTACAGTGGTGTTCCCAATTATTATGTACCTATGGAAAGGCTACAAGGTAAAAAAAACTGATGGGGAAATCATTCATAATAGAGTTTTATGAGAGCTTTATGGATTCCATGCACTACCAGAAAAACAAGTAATTGGGGTCTCGATTAAATCAAGCCTGAACTCTCTGTAAAAACAACTCACAAAGAAAGTCACAGGGTTGAGCTTGCAAGAACTCAGCAGGGCTGTTAAAGACAGGACCTTTTGGAGGCCACTGCTTCATAGGACCACCCTCTGTTAGAAGCAGTTTGACAGCGCATCGCCACATTAACAAACCTCTTCAACCCTAGCTGGTCTGGAAAATGGTGAGATGTTCGAAACTGTAGTCCAATATCTGAATGGACAGACTTCCTTGTACATGTTAGGTCACATCATGTGATATCTCACATCATCACAACAGATCACAGTGGTCTCAGGTATCCGAGAACCAAAATCCTATCAGTGCCTGCAAAAAATTGAGATATAAGCAGAATTTTTTACAACTGTGGCTATTTCATATGAAAATCTGGGCCATTTGTTTCCCAGTTTCCAAGCTTACAGCAAAATACTCTCTATTACGGTAACTTATGAGTACTTCTCTACATCTGACAATCTGAAACAGGCTCTTGAAAAATGCATCAGCTCCAAAGTTCATGGAAGGGATGAATTCACAGAAACGGCTACTCAATGTAATATGAGGGAATTGGTTAAATATTTTCTGATTCTTCTCCTAACATTCTTCAAAAATACATAAGCTCATGGGTAACCAGATTTTGGAAACACAGCTATAGTGACAGACATTGTGTTGTCATGGACACAGCGTTAGACTAGGATTCAGGAGAGCTGGGTTCAAATTCCTGCTCAGCCACGGACATTCACAGAGGGTAACAATGGTAACTTGCTTTTTGAACATCTCATATACCTTGAAAAATCTTATCAGGGTATTCATAAGTCATAAATAATTTGACAACAAATAGCAGCAACAACAACAGCATGGTTACGTAAAATACAAAGACATTTGCACAGACATATCAGATGTGAAAAATTCATGTAAAAACCAACTAAATGACAAACTAAAATTTAATTTATTTTATTAAAATAAGATAACCGGAAGAACCTGTGTTTACAATAAATGCTTCTTCTTATGAGCAATAAAAACAAAATTAAAATGCAAATCAGCAAGGGAAAACCTGTATATGCCATATTTCCTTCTAGTGCATCTCGGAAAAAAGTTTCAAAACAGGCTAAATGCTGCTTTTTTGCAGAAATATACTGACAGCATTATTTATTTTTCCTCTTCTCCTCCCAGAAAACTATAGTTTCTCACAGGACCTTCCAGGTGCCACAAGAAACAAGTCCGAAGTACCCCAAAAAAAGCTTCTTATGTTACTCTAAAATGATTGTAGCAAGATTGTGCTAGCTTCCTTTTCTGAGCACTACTAATTACAATATATTTCTCGTCCTCAAATGAGCATTTTCTCCTATGTGCAAAACTATCTCTGGTGATGAAACTTTAAACACCATTATTAAGTCATCTTGAGAAATACTTAGTAGGAGAATCTTTCCAAACTTGCATTTCTCTCTTCCCTTAAGTCTTCTTGGTGGGTGGCCATTTTAGTTCCTCTAGACGGAAGGGCACAAAGTCTTAGTATATGACAAGAACAGCACCATCTCCGTTGACTTTTCTCAAATGCTAAGCCATTGTTACTATTATAGAAAAATACCAGTTTATTCAGCAGAATGCAATAGAGTTGAACCCAGTTGAAGCAAGAATCCTTTTTTTCATCGCTGCTTTTTACATATGGGAAAAAAATAAGGCTCAAGTGCATCTATAAAAAATAGCAATAGAACTTCTTGTATACAGTCTGTTAACTATTTCAGAATGATAATGTGTAGAAAAAGGCAACATGGAGTTTTGTCCCTGTAGGATTCAAACAGTAGAAATTCATAGCAGCTCATTCTCAAAACCAATATCCAGCTGATTCCCATGCTGGCTCTTACAATCCTCCAGACTGAAGCTTTCAAGGCATAACTGCTATAACTGTTACTGAGGACCGCAGTGAGCTGGGCACACAAATCCCCTAAAATACAAGTAGTTTTGTTGATGTCAATGTGCATGAATTTATGTCATGTGTATGGGTTGCACGATGCAGAGACGGTTCTGAAGCACTTCGGTTGATTTTGGGTAAAGAATGCTGCAGCAATTCAATGGAAGACAGTATCTGGAAGGCCAGAGAGAGAAAGGAGAAAACTTTATTACTGATGACTCTAAATCCACAAGACTTAATTCTGAATACTATCAGGTATTTAATGTATTTGACATGTTGCAGACTAATAGAAATAAACATACAGGCTTATATTTAATAGGAAATATCGCCTTCTTTCAGCAGAATTGGAGGGGATGATTTCCCCTCTCATTTACAATCCCCCATTCAGCCAAAAACCTGCTCCGGATGGGTCAAAAACCCTCCTGACATTATGTTTGGGTAGCATGAGGGAAGGGGAATAGTTTATAAGATCCTTATGCTGTACTGTCCATGCAAAATTGAATTTAGGCCTTATCTCCTGACAAATTTAACAACAGTGGGAAACAAAGGGAAAGGAACAATTAAAAGGAAGAGAAATGGGTAACAGCAGAAAGGGTAAGCAAACATAGGCTTCATTTCAATTGACAATCATATATGTACTTCATGAGCTGGCAATTTCCTTCTAGGAAAAACACAGAGGCTGACCATCACAGAGTAATGTAATTCACAAAAATATTGCAGTGTATTAAATCTCACAAAATTACAAAAAAGTGAGTTGCAAGAAGAAAACGTAGAACAGACTGACTGTTCCTTTTTTGAGGTTTCTATACAGTTTAATATGTGAACATGATACATACAGTTGCTCAACATTATGGCCCAGATACCTATAAGCTAGAAGTACATATCTGTGAGCAGGACATTAGAGACATTATATAATTCTGCCCTCCGAAACATCTATTCTTACATATTCTGCATATCATTTCTAAAAAGAAGACATAGTTGAAGGGCCCATCAGTGCAAGACTGCCTCCACTGCTGCAGTTACACTCTTTCTAGTCTGGGCAAGTCTACAATGAACACTCATGAAGTTCTTCCCAGCAGTTTCCATTTTCTCATGATCATCTCCCATCTGTAAGATATCCATCTGCCTATAAGAAATCAGTGCTATAATATTTTATTTTCTATCATGTGACTCAAAATATGCAGGCATGCTTATATACACAGGCTTGTGCTCACATAATATTCTTCATTTCTTGAATCTACCTTTCCCCCCTTACCTTATTTTATGCAAACATACCACAGAAAAAAATGTATTCCTTCTATAAAAGCTTTAAAAGGAATAATCTTGCCGAATTTACCTGTGGGAAGAGAGGTCTTTCTTCCCTCACTTTTTTCACACAATCTGCTACAAGCCTCTTCATAGCTTTGGGGCAATTTTTATACAGTTTACTGAGGTCCAGTGATGCATAACCATGACCGACCATGAAAATAATCTAAAATAGAAAAACAGAACACGAACATTTTAGCAACAGAGTAGTGAATGCCAATTATACTGAAAAAGAATGATAATAATGATATAAAACTATACTTTATTTCCATGGAAATTACAAACAGCAAATGGTCAGCTTTTTGGAAGATGTTAGGTATTTTTAAGAGGAGGGCTCATCGTTTATAGTGACAAAGACATTCTTTGTAAATAAAATTATTTCAGTTTTAATCTCTCACAGTAAAGCTGAGAAGGACTGTCTGAAACTCTTGATAAGTGCAGCTTGATGAAATTTGGCCATTGACACGGAACAAGACAATTCCCTACAGTCCACCTCAATCACTACCAAGCAGAAAAATCAGTTGCCCAGATTCACCCTAGCCAAGGAAAATAGACATATGCATGTAAGAAGCTTGGCAAGTGGGCATCTCCTGCAGACAGGAAATGGCTGTGCCACGATACACAAGCCATTTTATCTGGTTTAGTACAAAATTATACCATACTGTGTCCTGTTAATTTAGAAGAAACTGAACTCATGGTCTTGATGCCCAGCTATTTCTACATGCAGCCTACACAAGAAACTAGCTGCCAGCTCAAGAATGTTTTCTGTAAACCCAAAAATGAGTTTTAGAATGGTATTTTGGGTGGGGTGGATGCCAACTGCTAGACTTAAAGAAAGGTTTTGCCACCAGATGTATAGTGGCACAGGGGTTAAACCACAGCACTGCAGTCAGGACTGCTCACAACATAAGTTCAATCCCAACAGGTGCTGGGTGCTACTGAGTGGCATATAAGCAGCACACTTTGCCTTTGCTTTGAGACAGATGGATGTTCCTGGACAAAGAAAAATGTTTGAAAGTAAGTATTCTAATATATAAGCCAAAAAGGAAATGAGAGAAAGTAGGACCTGATGAAATGATATATAAAACTGTCAGTGTACATTATATGATACACTGCTCCTGGACTACACAGTGTGCTGAAGAATCCTCCTCATCACAAAGCAGATGACAGCTGAACAGGTGACAGACTTAACCTCTTACAAAAGGAAGGTAAGAACTCTTAAACTTTTGGGGCAAGTTCCTGGTCTGGTCCTTAACTTCAAAAAATCCAAAAATTCAGCCTTAAAGTGGCACCTGCTGTAAGAAAAAAAAATCTCTTAACTATAAACAAACATATGAATACAAGTATGATCAAATGTTTGGGGATAATAATTCTTGGTTAACTTGCTAACACAATCTCTCTGAACTTTCACTTCCTCCTAAATGGGAACAAAGAACTCCTCAATTAAAATTATCATAGTTTGGACAGAGAGGAGCAATCATCATCGTAATCATCCAATTATAACACCAAAATGAATTACTTATTGCAAAGTATTCCAATTTATATTAAGGACACTTTTGTTTTTACAATGGCAGAGTGCTAAATAAGAACATCTAAGGCAGCTACGTACAGATGAGTGAAATTAGGAGGCTCTGGAACTCCTCATATTGGAACCTACTGCTGTGTATTCCAGTTAAAATAATTTGAATAATTTTGAATTATGCAACATATACCAGGCTTTTGAAATATCCAGAATAAATGCAGATCAAGTGAGGTGCTCCATTTTTCATTGGAATAATTAATAGTTTTTTAAATCCCCAACTCTTTTTTTAAAAGAACACATTGGTAATATAACTAAAAAGGATTAAAAGATTAATTCTCTCCATGGATCACATTCATTCATACCCTGCCCTTATCCTTAAAAGGACTAAAACTAATATATAAAACAACAAATAAATGATTACAAGATTAAAAAAGAATTGAACAGATATCAAACTAAAAACTAGCTCATACAGTTTATAAACATTCTATAAGCACATTTAAAAGAAATCTTTTTAAGAACCACCTCTTAGGCAGCACATTACTGAAAGAAGGCCTGACTAAAGAAGAGTATCTGGCATCTAAAATATCGTACAAGGAGTCCTAAGTGTGGAGAGGCTGTCAGGGTTATGGCCTATAGTGCCACATGTGGTGGCTGCGTCCCAACATTCAAACGTTTTGCAACTCATTTTTTTCAGAGATGGAGAAAATTACAAATAAAATACCCAATCAACTCTATCTCTCAATTTGCCGACACTTTTTATTCTCCCCTGAAACACTTATTACATAAATGACTGATCTTCATTTTCTGCTATTGGGCTGCTTATCACAGCCCACTGGAATAGTATGACAGACGTTACCATTTCCCAATGGTATGCCGAAATCTGGTATACAGGATTTACAGAAAAGCTAACTGCTCAAGACAGGGCTTTAAGAGGAAGTGGTGATGGCAAACAACTTTACAAAACTCATTCATACATTTCTCCTCCTGCATCACATCCTGTACAGAAAGGCCTAATCAATTGATCACAATCAGCTGATACTCTTTGCAATCCTTTGATCTTATTATGTGTGTTTGTTATTTTACAATCTTTGGAAATGTTTTAAAAGCTGCATTACTGCATTATATTAAAGAATACGGGTAAAAGGTTTTGGTTGGCTTTCTCAGCCAAGTCAAAAGGTCATGGCTGCTACTGTAGGTTCTTGCCATCTTGCTGACTGAGATAAAACACAGTACCTCTGCTCAAAAGGAGAGGCCACATCTCTAATTTTCTCATAGGAAAGACAAATGAGCACTATTCCAGATTCAGTTGGGGTGTAGGAGAGGGACTCGGAGCCAAGCAAAGGCTGAAGTCTCCAGACCTTCTCTCCAGAAGGAAAAGGAACCACGCTAACTGCACAGCTGCTCAACAGCAGCACTGAAGATTGCTGCTATGAAGCAGTGAACATTAAGCTCGTATCTGTTCTGCTCCACCACACACATTTCTGCCCCAGAAGAAGAAGAAGTGGACAGCCTACTACTTTGGCCGTCAAACTAAGAATCCCTTTTACCCAGACCTCGGAGGGGGAAAGGAGTGCCACACCAACCTCTGCAACTCCAAATCTGGGAAATGGAAAGGTGCCTATCATGATTTCCAGAGAAGAACAGTGACATCTTTTTCCAAGGCAAGTGTAAGCTACTTGTAAGCTACTTCTAAACTAGCATTCTCTTCAGCTGTTGGGTGAGTCAGAATCCCTGTAGTTTCCACTCTAATGTACACGACTGCTCTCAAGGAGTTCGGGGCCCTTCTCCCTTCAACCAGAGAGTACACATTATCACTTTGTAGATGGACTGAAAACAGAATGAAAACAGAAAATGACTGAGTATCTAAGAATTTTAAGAAACAGTTAGAAAGCAGGATCAGGTAAGACTCATGCCTGGAAAAAACAGTGGGCAACACCTTGTTCAACTACTATGCATGGAGTGGCACGCGCGCAAGCATGATGTCTACCATATGTCTAATCACACATTCGTCCCATAATAAATCCTGTGACTAACTGTGTGAATGGGAACACAACAGAGCAAATCAAGAAAACCAGTTGTGTTATTGTTATGTAGCAACAGTAAATGGAACTGAAACAACTTATTTTCACTAAAAATAAAATTCTTTGCATCACACATACATTTCTCACCTGGTCTCTATTGTTAATATGGGAATATGGTAGCTCTCCTGTCATCAATTCATATAGCACTATTCCGTAAGAATAGACATCTGACTGGAAACTGAATGGATTGCTATCTTGCATTCGGATAACTTCTGGGGCCTGAAAGAAAGAAATTAAAAACTCATACCTAGAAAAAAATAACATATCCACAGCAATATTACAATAGTAATAATAATTAGTATTTACTAATAATTAGTAATAATATTAATAAAAGACAGCTGAGCCCACTAATTGGCCTGCAAAGCCAGCTATTAATGCAGACAAATTATATTAAATTAGTCAAGTCTTTAAACTGCCTGCATAAGCTTTTGTAAGCCAACTGACAAAATCGACTTAGTCTTCCACTGAAACTGCAACATGTTACTGAACTGTAAAACTGTTAGAAAGAGGGGGAAATAATTCTGGAAAACATATGCACGTAACTATTGAAAGGAGTAATAAAAGTTAAAAACAAATTAAGCTTGATAAAAGTCTATGATAAAATCATAACAATTAAACAGTATGAATTAATTGCATAAAAATGTAAGAAAAATATTGACTGTTTCAGATGCAACAGTCATGGTGTGTTAGTTCAGTAGTTCCCAACCTTGGTCAACCCATGTGTTCTTGGACTGCAACTCCCAGAAGCATTCACAACTAGCTGCGATGTCCTGGGTTACCCATGTTGGGGAACCACTGTGTTAGGTGAATGAGGCTGCCAAAAGTTCACATTCCTCAAGCATGAAGAAAACAGCCCACACAGACTTCATTTCAGATCAAAGACTTCCTGAAAATATAAGTCCTTTGCATCTATATTTCAAAGGCAACAGCCTGGCCCTTGTCTGCAAGAGAAACTAAGGATCATACCTATTGCTGGGATATTTATGTAATTAACACTTAGAAGGTTCATTAATTGTTAGTAACACCAGTGTCACTAGTAGTTTGCTACCACTGCTAATGCAACTGTCACTTTCTTCATCTAATTTCACTTGGCCCTCACCCCTATAGCTATGTACACGGTGTACATAAACATGTGACACTATTCTGTGTTTGAGGAAATGGGAATGTCAGCCATGAACTTCTGCATTAAAAAGTATTTTGCACGTGTTCTTCAAGTTATCACAATACTTCTTTTGTTTTGTGTTCATTTTTTAAACAGAATGTCAGAAGTTTCTAAAGCTAGGGTAGATCTGTAGCATGCTATCTGCCTCTATCCTCAAGTGTGCAAGCTCAAGGAGTGTGGCTCCTACCTTGCCGTATGCATATAAGGAGGTACTGCACAAAAGCCGGCTATAGGAGCACCTCCAGCACAGATGGAAAGTGAGTTACATTATTACCATAGTGACCTCGGAAGAACTACAGTTACAAGTCATATACAACAAAAACAAAACAAAGAAGACAACAGTCTATTTCTCTCCTTTATGGCCTCTATGCAGTCACACGTATAAGCAAATATCTAGCTAACTTTCCAGAGCTGAGCTGGCGCCCAGAAACTACAGAACTCAGTGCAGGTCCTTATGCAGGAAGCATCCACATCCATCCTTGCTCAAATATCAAGCCTGAAATACCAGGCAGATGCAGAGGGATAGGAATGAAGCGGCATCTGGCTGAAGTTTACTGTCAAGCAAGGTAGGGAAGAACATAAGAGCTTGGGCAAAACGAGATCACACAGGGAAAGAGTCAGTTAGCTTAACTGCACTAGACCCAAACCACAGCTGAAATCCAGGGGAAAACTTTTGCACTGAGAATTTCCAGAGGTCTGGGGACTACACATGCCATCCCCTAAACTTAAGCTTTTTTTTTTCTATTCAAAAAAAGATTCTCAGTCCTTCATGATGGGAAAATAGAAATTTTACATGCCCCCTCCAGGTGGATTTCATTACTGGAAGTGACCTGGTCACCCCCAGTTTCAGGGGGGAAAGGCCCTCCTGAGGCCTGAAACCACTTGAGCAGGGAAAACATGAGAACATTGTCCCCAGAGGTTGTGAGGCAGTTTTCTGAATAAATCCTTTTAAAAGAGAGGAGGCAGCACCAAGAAATGACACAGGGGTGCAAATGGGCCTTAGCCAGTACTCTGCTTATCCCAGTGTAAACTGTGAAAGTCTGTCTCGTGGCACAGTGGTTAAACAGCAGTACTGCAGTCAAGACTTTGCTCATGATCCGAGTTCAATCTCAATGGATTCAGGTAGCCAGCTCAAGGTTAACTCAAACTTCCATCCTTCCGACGTTGGTAAACTGAGTACTCAGCTCATGGGGTGGGGTCAATGTATAGCCTGCATAATAAAATTGTAAACCACCCAGAGTGCTTTAAGCACTATGGGACAGTATACAAGCAGCACACTTTTTTGCTTTGCTTTTGCTCCACATCCTAAGCAGGTAAAGACATATCCCACAGAGATGATCCCACAGAGACAACATTGGCAGAAGGTGATTTTATTCTGATAACTCAATTCTCCACTGTGCTTCCTTGAAAGGGGCTGGACTTGATGATCCCTTCCAGTTCTGCAGTTTTAAAATTATTATCATTATTTAAGACAGCAAGTTAAAGCTCTAACCTCCTTTGGGGTGGAACAAAAGTAAGACTGTAGCACTATCTGATCTCTTTGAAACAGGAAGTAGACAGGGCAGAGCACATTTCACTGAGTCTATAGGCAATGCAAGCCAATGTAATGTCAACCTAGGTCACAAGTGGCAAGAGGTGAAAAGGCTTTCATCATGACCGGAGTTAAAATGTTGGAGACTCTCCAAGTTGATAAGGATCTGCTCATAAAAACAGCTCACTAAGGGATGAGGTGATACAAGGTGATACTATCAGTCCCAATATCTTGAGAGGAAGAAGAAAGTCAAGAAAAAGAGACAGTGTTTTAAAAACAAGAATGCCTTGGATAATTTAAGCCATGGACTTTACACGTCTTTCAATACTGTAGGAATCTAAATATTTCACAGCACAGCAAATCCTGTGTCACTATTTTTTAATAACGTGTACCATTCTTTACTTCTTGTTGTTATGTACGGTCACATCATTTCTGACTTATAGTGACCCCACAAGTGAGTGGCCTCTAAAATGTCCTGTCTTTAACAGCCCTACTCAATTCCTGCAAAACACAAGTCTGTGGTTCCTTTATGGATTCAATCCATTTCAGATTCCTCTTTTTCTATTGCCTTCAACTTCTCCCAGCATTACTATCTTTTCTAACTAGTCTTGTCTTCTCATGATGTGCCCAGAATATAGCAACTCCAGTTTAGTCAATTCCTAGAGAATTCAGGCTTAATTTAATGTAGGACTCACTAGTTTATCTTTCTTGTGATCCATGGTATCTGCAAAGTTCTCATCCAACAGCAAATTCCAAATATTTGGCTTAATGCAAAAGACCCTTTAGGTGTCAGCTTTCTTCACTGTCTACCTTTCACACAGTAATTGTAACAGTTCTATGTGCATGACCTGGTCTACAGTGACACATCATTGCATTTGATGGTGATGAGGGCATAGAAATTCCTGAAAGGCAACTACTGGACACTAGCACTAGTAGATGGTGACAGTACAGAGGGATCTTTCACAGAAAAAAACAGTGACACGAAAAATAACTTTTGTTAGTTCTGCACAAAAGGAGACAACGTAAACTATTACCAAAGATTTCTTACAATTAAAAATCATGAATGGAACATTTACACATGAAAAAAAGACATAATGTTGGAAGAAGAAACTTCTAGATAAGAAAGCACTTGAATCAGCTGCAGGAAAGAATAAATACAAATTGCACTGATGCTGATGAAGCAAAGTTGAAAGTATACCTAGAGTCAGAAAAACTGTGCTTGAACAAAGACTTTCATGACATATAACAAAGATTACAGTCCTCAGAAGAACAATAAATGCACTACATCTCAGGAATAAAAAAGAGAATTTTTGCAATAAATTGCAAATTGAAAAGATTCAAAGAAATGCCATTAATGTTAGACCATTAAACTGTAATTTTGTCTGCTATAAACAACAACAGCTCAGTTAAGTTTTTTGCTGTAGTGAATTTGCTTTAAACACCTACCATCCAGAGTACAGATCCTGTGGGTTGCTCCACCTGTTGAGAACCACTCCATCTGGACTTGACTGTGGCCAAGCCAAAATCCCCTATTTTCACTGTGCGGTCTTCATGCAGAAATATATCTATGTAACTATTAAGGAACACATGTGAACAGTCACTTGCATTACCACAAGTTTCTGGGGTTTTTTCTGTGTTATCTATAATTGGGCCTCTTAATATAAACATAAGGGATGTGGTGGTGCTGTGGCTTAAAACGCAGAAGCCTCTGTGCTGGAAGGTCAGAATACCAGCCGTTTTAAAATTGAATCCACACGACGGAGTGAACTCCCGTCACTTGCCCCAGCTCCTGCCAACCTATCAGTTCAAAAGCATGTAAATGCGAGTAAATAGGTACCACCACGGTGGGACGGTAACAGTGTTCTGTGTCTAGTCATGTTGGCCACGTGATCACGGAAACTTTCTACAGAGAAACGCTGGCTCTACGGCTTGGAGACAGGGCTGAGCACTGCACCCTAGAACTGGACACGACTGGACTAAACGTCAAGGGGAACCTTTACCTTTACCTAATACAGTGGTGCCCCGCTTGATGATGACAATGCGTTCCAGTGAAATCGCTATACAGCGAAATCACAGTCAAGCGAAAGTAAAAAAAACCAAAAGAATGCATTAAAAACTGGCTAATGCATTCTAATGAGGAAAATACCTCATCGACCAGCGAAGATCCTCCATAGGGTGCCCATTTTCCTGTGCCTGTAAAGCGAGCAATCAGTCTTAAACACAGCGGGGCGCCATTTTGCACAGCGGGTGGCCATTTTGCAACCCGCCGATCAGCTGTTTCAAAACTATCGTTAAGCGAAAAATTGGTTCCCGAAGCAGGGAACCAATCGTCATAAAGCGGAAAACCCCATAGGAATCATCGTTTCGCGATCACAATAGAGATTGCAAAAAACTCATCATAAAGTGGATTTGTCATCAAATGGGGTAATCGTCAAGCGGGGCACCACTGTATAAACAGTTGAATTGATTGTTTCATGTGGGCATAATGTTGATGTTTTGATAGTGGTGGCTGTTAGTTTACCTGTTTCCATCAGAAACCTGAATACAGTGAAGCCTTGCTTAACAATTGCCTCACTTAATGAAGAATTCGCTTACCAATGGATTTCTTTGAGGAATTTTCTGCATCGTTTAACGATGTTCTCTATGGGGGATTTTCACGTAACGATGTCCGTTTTCGCTCATGTAAAAGTGTCTTAAAATGTTTGAAACCTGTTTTAAATGCTGGCAATCGTTAGTCCACCTTGTGTAATGTATGCAAACTTAATTTGGTGTTGTTCTGAGTCTTCGTTAATTTTTGGTGAATTTTTTTCTCTCTCATTGAAAAAGCACTGGACGGTCCGTCCAATGCTTTTCAATGAGAGAGAAAAAAATTCACCAAAAATTAACGAAGACTCAGAACAACACCAAATTAAGTTTGCATACATTACACAAGGTGGACTAACGATTGCAAGCATTTAAAACAGGTTTCAAAGAGTTTAAGACACTTTTAAAGGAGCGAAAACGGACATCGGAAAGCCATTCAAATGCATTGAGTCGGCTTCAATGCATTTCAATTGGGGAACCGCGTTTCGCTCAATGATGTTTCCTATGGCGATTTTCGCTTAAGGACGGCAATCCGTTCCAATTGGAACGGATTAACCGGTTTTCAATGCATTCCTATGGAAAATGGTGTTTCGCTTAACAATGTTTTCACATAACGATTTTTTTAATGGAACCAATTAACATCATTAAGCGAGGCACCACTGTATGTTAAAATAGTTGTTAATTGTTGAACAGTCAAAACTATGTTGCTGTGAACTTATGTTTGATATCTATCATGCCTACTGCATTTTTGTTTATTATGCTTTTTTGAGCATAACGTAGTATGGAAAATGAAGCTCACAAATAAACTGTGAGAGTGGATATGGAAACTTTCCGGAGGCATACATTATACACAATAAAAAAATTACCAGAGTAATTGCTTAGAGGGAAACTTTCCGGAGGCATACATTATACACGATAAAAAAATGAACAGAGTAATTGCTTAGAGCAGTGGCCCCCAACATTTTTAACCCTGTGGACCGGTTGGGGAAGGCGGGGCATCCTCCCACACTCATGTGCAAGCCGGAAGGAGCGATCATGTTCACGCACAGGCGCTCATGCACCTGTGTGAAGGAGCAGGAGGGTGCTCGTGCGGGTGCTTGTGAGCATACACAAAGGGCCCTGTGGCACTTGGGGGCACTCATATGTATGTGCAAAGGGGTGGGGAGCGCTTACACAGGGACACGCATGTATGCGCAAAGAGGCTATGTATGGGGGAGTGCGGGCAGGTGTGGGGGGAATGGTCTGTCTCCTCAGCCTGGTCCAGCTCAGGCCATGGACTGGCACCGGGTCGCAGATCGGGGCTTGGGGATCTCTGGCTTCGAGTAATTTACAGAGTAAATTTACAGAGTAAAAAAACAAATTTAAAAAATTTAAAAAACAAGTTAAAACTAAACTTGGGATGTCTAGAAAGGAGCAGTCTTCAATCCAGACTTGTATTAAAATGACAACAAAATGATACAGGGATATCCATCTTCTTCTTCTTCTTCTTTTTTTTGTAATTAGCAGCCTTCAGTTTATCTGATCATCAGAACAAAAATACTCAATATTTTATTGACTATTTATTTAAAATACCCTTTACTATATTGATCAAACAAACATACACTAGCAGAACTTCACCAATAAGCAAAGGATACTATTTGATTTCATGTCTCTGTGTATTATATTCTTCGCGTGTAAATAGCTGCAAAGAAAGTATGATATATAAATCTAAATATATTTACAAGCCAAAAGACAGGTTACAAGGCAACAATTACCATCAAGCCAAACATAAGCAGATTATCATTTTTCAATTGCACAAAGATATATTTAAGATCTAATATTCAATGCAGGTAGATATTTGTTTTATCCTCTAGAAAATAACACAGTATATTTTAATGCTTAAGTTTAGCAGGAAGCGAAAAAAAAGTTCTCAAGGGCATAAGATAACTGCCATGTTTTTTTCAGAAATTTGATTTTCCTTTTGGGGGTCGTCAACCCTTTCTACAATGGCAATGATTCAGCCCATGTTTATGGGCAGCAGGTTTTTCCACTGGCAGTTGTTAAGCTTACTCACTCCATTCCTTGTGCTGTCTGCCTTGCAATATCAATACGCTGTAGCATCTGAAACTTGGTCTCCTGGACATGTAGGTGTTTATAAAGACTACTTCCTTCACACCACTGTGTGACAATAGCCAGGTTATCTTTAGTCATGTAGCCCATGAACAGTAAAATATTGACATGCCGTGTTTTCCTAGTGGAAGGAAACAATTGAGTATTAACATTTTAGCTGCATGTTCTTGATTTTAAAAATTGTTATCTTAGTAACTACAGGCCCCCAAAATGCCTAGAACTGATAGACAGTAATCTATACCTAACAGACAATTAAATGTCAAAAGCTGCTATAAAGAGGTTGAGAAGAATGAATTGATTAAATATCAAATTTTTTACACTACCTGTGGGAACATTCTCTACAGAACTCTGCTGGCAATGCTTCCACTGGTAGAGTGAAATTGCAACTCTAGCCCGCTGGCTTCTTCAAAAAGATGGAGTGTTTGGCTTACCTTAATACAGCCACTTCATTTCGGAAGGCTTGAAATTGTTCTGGTGTTGGATTTACAACCTTTAATATCTTTACTGCTACATCTCCTGCAAACATAATTTAAAATAATCAAAGATAATGCCAATGTGTTTGTTACAGATGCTTGTGCACAAATCAGATACTATGAATGATCGCGGACTGAGTGATATACTTTATATACAGAAAAGGCCCAGATCCAGTTTCTTCCATCTCAGATTCCATCTCTACTAGGATACCCAGTAACAGAAGCCCTGAGAAAGAAACTGCCATATTTCATACCAGAGATATGCACTGATGACAAGATTTGATTTGAATTTCAATTCTGCACTTAGAAAAGGTCTTGCTTTGGCTTAGATTGACTCAGGACTAGTTTGCTTCAAGCCAGATCCAGATCCAGAACCTAGGTCCAGAAATCAAAGATTTCTGCTTCCTTTTATCTCAAAATCCCAAAACAGGCATGTTTCCAAAATTGAGCATATTATTCTTCTCCTTTTTTAAAATCAGAAGAATACACTGTAGATCCTTGGAAGGGACACTTCCAAGATTGTAGACAAATACATGTAGGAGTTCTTGTGTTAAAGCTTCATAGAAGTTTTATTTTTAAAAATTGAACTGCTGATAGCCCAAATCCTCTTACCTGGTTACACTGGCATAGCACAAGTGTTGGAATCATTTATGCCTCAAGTTTAAAAATCAATATACTCACTGGCAGTTGAATACTGAATTGTATGACTCAGGATCCAACTAGTCTAGTTTCCGGTTTAGTTTCCTCTCTTAAAGGAATCAATGTGGCCAAGATTCAGGTGAAAATGTGTAGACATTTCCTTGTAGGAGCAATCTTTTCATTTGGAGAGCAAACAAAGAGAGACAGACTGCACAGATTTCTTACAGATCACTATTCTGAAAATTATGTCATAGAGATTGCCCTGTGTAAGAAATAGAGATGGGAGTTTCATATCTGTAGACAAATACAAAGCCCGCCGACACAGGTGGGCAGCCTGATTACCTCCCAACTCCAGAATCCACCGGTTTATTTATTTATTTTTATTTATTTACAATATTTTTTAGCCACACCATTGCCAGTGGCTTCTGGGCGGCAGTTCACTTACAGAAGGGTGCGCATGCTGGTGTCATTTACAGGGCGCCAATTATGGTAGAAGTCTGGCTGCCACAGCCCTATTTCCTGCTTGCTGAGTGGGGAAATTTGTTCTCCTGACCCCTTGCCACAGCGGCCAGGCGAGCAGGGAGACAGGGCTGCAGCCGCCGGGCTCCTGCCATGGTTAGCACGCTGATGATAGATGCCGGCCACATGCACTGCACTATAAGTGAACTGGCAGGCTTTGGGAGGTAAACAGCCTGGCCACCTGTGCTGGTGGGCTTCATATTCGGCTACAGATACAACGCCTTCATCTGTACAGTTTGTGAAAAATAACTGCAGTGGCTTATAAGGAAGGAGACTTGTAAAACCTGAGAAGGGTTTTACTCTTCCATTTGGGGAGTGGTAGGGGTGGTGTGGAACTAAAGTATATGAAATGATCCCCATCACAGAGATTTAATACTTACATAAACAATCTTTAGGAAGGTGTAATGCAGGAAGGTGTGAAAACTAGTTTAAGAATTTACGAAATGAAGCACAGGAATGCTGGAAGAATGGTCACCTCACTGTTCCACACTTATTTTGCCCCAATACAGATTTGAGACACAAACCATATAGCAGGGCCCAACATTTATTTTTTTCACTGTGTCAATAAATAAGCTAGCTGATTAGCTTAGTGGTTTAGGTATCTGGTTGCAGTAGCAGGGGTTGAGACTTTGATTCTCCAGTTTGCCTCCTGGGAGAAAAGTGATCCTGTGTAGCCATGGGAAAGCTGCAAAGCCCCAGGGAGTCCCCAGAAGAAGGGAATGGCAAACCACTTCTGTGTATTCTCTACCTGGAAAGGGTCACCGTAAGTCAAATGTTGACTTGATAGCGTGCAATAATGTTGTTATGTCAATAAATATATATCCTGGAAAATTACAGATAAAACTGCTCAATACTTACCATGCCACTTTCCCCTGTAAACTGTTCCAAATGAACCTGACCCTACTCTGGTAGAGAGCATAACTTCACTTGCTTCTATTTCCCAGTAATAACTTGAATCTCTTTGTCCACGAGGTCTCTGTAGGCAAGCAAGCAAGAAGATATTTAAAATACAGACTGGAAAGTTTTACAGTCTCTGATTAAAAGTTTGCATCTTTCATGACTCATCTAACCTGGATGCATTCAATCCAAATACATATCTGTGTGTCTGTCTAGCTATTTATTTATATACCAACCTATTAGTGCAAATACACTAGTCTGGGCAGTTTACAATAAACTAAAACAATAAATGTAAATAAAGAAAAAATGAAACAGCACTCAACATATCAAGTGGTGGAAATATAAAATGAAATATGGCATGGGCATATAATCATATAGAGCAGCAAAAGGAACAGGTCATGAAGGGTTGCCAAAAGAGGCCTTTCTGTAAAGCAGTGTTTTCGAAGATTATTTAAAGGTGGGGAGGGAGGGGGGCAGGCACAGTTCCACTGGTTTCATATCGCTGGAGTCACCACAAAGAAGCCCCTGCTTCAAGTAGAGGATTAACTGGTCTCCCTTGGAGTGGCTTCTCAGAGGATCACGGCCTAGGACGAACTAGTGGGTCAGGTGAATGACCTTAGGAAAAGGTGCTCCAATATGTAATGTGGTCCCAAACTATGAAAGGCTTTACATGTGATAATCAAAACCTTAAATCTGATCTGGAATGCAACAGGTAACCAATGTAGATGAGTCAAGACTGGGGAGATGTGGTCAGACCTGCACATACCGGTCACCAGTCTGGCTGCCACGTTCTGTCCCCATTACAATCTCCCAGTAAACCCAAGGGAATACCCGCATAGAGAGCACTGCAGTAGCTGATGTGGGAAATGACCACTGCATGCACCAATGTCTTGAGGGACACCTCGTTCAGGAAGAGGCAGAGTTGGAGCAATAACCCTCAACTGAATGAAAGCAGTTCTGGACACAGCTATAACTTGGGAATCCCAAGATAGCGCTGTGTCTAAGAGCACACCCAGATTATGAACTTAATCCCTGGCTGGAAGGACAAAGCCATCCAGTTTAGGGGAAATCCCCCAGCCTGTCCAAACAGACCCCCAGAAGCAAAATCTCCACTTTGTCTGGGTTCAGTTTGAGCTTGATAGCCCTGGTCCATTCCAAGAGTGACTCTAGGCAGTGTCCAGACTGCATCCACTGCAGAGGTGGAAAAACAGAGATATAGCTGTGTATCATAAGCATACTGATACCTTACTCCAAATCTCTTTATGATCTCCCCAATGGTTTCACATATATGTTAAACAGCATTGAGGATACTGATGACTAGAGATGGGGATGACTCACCATTTTGGCGAGTTGTCCCGCTTCATGAATCATGAAAAGTTGATTCCCTTAAGGCTGGCTAAGGGAATCCAGACTGCCCTTTGCAAAGATGGCAGCTGCAGCTTTCCTACCCTAAATGAAGCCGCAGCCGACATCTTTGCAAAGGGCAGCCAGTCTCCCTTTTTACACACCATAGCTGCGGAGGCCAGGTGGGAGACCTAGGCGGCGGTGATTATGATAAGGGGGTGTTGGCAGGGGGGCTAAGGTAGGGAGAGGAGTGGTGGGGGTAGACTGTGGGGGTGGGTGACTGCCTATCGGTCCGCTAAATAGGCCGATGCAAAGACCAGAATCATGACCCTAATGATACTTGAAGGGATACAGTGTCTTGCTTCCACACATATTTTTAGGATCAAGGTACCAATATGATGTGGAATAATAAATATGACAACGGTTTCGCTAATTTTGACAACTCTCACAATATCCAACTAGTTAGAATTCAGTACAAATGTCACATCTAAAAATTTCCAAGCATGCAAATTATATGCTTAATTGTACATATTATTGTTTCAAGCATGAATTATATTGCCTACTAAGTGCTATTTGGCAATACATATTTTTGATACTTACAATTTTCTTTTCTTGCGCATTAGGTCCTGTAGCTCTTTCTCTCTGAGCTGCAACTGGTGTTTTATGCTGGGACCATCCTGTTGGACTTGTATTATTCGGACTACTAGATATAGCTGATGGTGATGCTTCACATGTGCAAAGAAAAAGAAAACAGATACCAACATTAGAAAACTTTGGTACATTAAGTACTTACAATGTAGGAATGGACATGAAACCTGAAAGTCACACACTTTATTTAAAAAGCATGCATACATGCATCATCTTTCTGCATCAGCTATGGTCTACAGCAAGTGTGTCCAAAGTACGGCCTGTGGGCCACATTCGGCCCGCCTGGACTTTTTATCCGGCCCGTCCATGCGCGCGAGCGGGCGGGTGTGTGGCAGTACGTGTGCAGGTCAGTCGGCGGGTGAGAGTGTGTGCATGGAGGTGGGGGGGAGTGTGTATAGGTGGGGAGTCTGTGCAGAAGTGTGTGCACGCATACATGCACATGCGTATGCATGTGTTCCTTTGGCCCTCCAAAATATCACAAATATATTATGTGGCCCTCCGTGTGAAAAGTCTGGAGACCTCTGGTCTACAGTATACTAAGAATGTATGCTAATTCATACACGTAAGTAATTTTCTACACTGAAATTTTTGGAATGTAGACTGTGATCCCTGGAGAATTCAGTTACTTTATTTAGTGAAAAACTTACCAGATTCACTGTGACTACGTATGGCATCCTGAAACAAAACAGAATAGGTATCAAAACTGCATAAACACTACTGTGGTAAACATACGGAACATAAAATTTCCCCAGATGAGAAACGGACTCAGCAGCTTTGATTCTAGATATCAAACCACTACCAGAATATTTCTAGGTAGGGACGGCAGCCATTTTAAAAGAATCCTGGTGTCTACTTGCTAAAAATATTAAGTGTGCTTAGCATTCAAAGAGTTCAAAAAAAGATCCAATTAATCCTTGACATTTTTATATGAAGAGTCCTGAAGAGTTACATTCCATAAAGGCTACCACTACAACTGGGATGGCAGAAGTATTTTAAACTCAATTTTGTGTGACATGTATCTTACATATTTTATACGTAACATTTCTATTCCAACAGATTGCTGAATCTGTTCAAGTTTTAAGTGAATGGAAATCCACATTACTTCCATTGTACCACTGCTGCAAGCTGAGCTGGTTTCTCATTTCATGCCACACATGCTACACTGTGTAAACATGCACAGCTCTAATGGAGGACATTTGGTGACACTTCCCATCTGTCCAATATCATCCAAAGCACAGCTGGGATAATTGACAGGAAGACACATGCCTAAATATCTCACAAAGCAAAACTCAAGGTCAAAATAAGGGCTAGAGAAAGGCCTAACACATGATGCCGTTTTGTCTGCCGTTGCAAACTGTCAGGAAACTGTTCAGAGCTCTTTGAAAGGGGAGAATAAGTATGATCAATAGAAGACAGGGGGGGAAAGAAGGTTCAAACTAATCTCTGATCAAGCAAGAAAAGATATTGGGCAGGACAGAATACTGTATGAGAATCTAATAGAGAAGCACTGGTGAAATTACACATAGACCAGAGTCCTAGAGTTGGTCCCCTATAGGTTCCATACCTAGCCAAAGCTAATTGATAACGTGTCAAGGTACATCTTGGTCATGCACTTAATTTTGCAACAGAGATGCACCCTGGCACATTGTCAATAAGTTGCAATTGGCCATGGCAAACTTTATGCAAATGCCAGTAGGATTCTGGATATTACTTACCATTCTAGGGAGATTCATTTGGAGAAGGGAAAGTGGGAATAGTTTCAGGAATCTAAAGAGCTCTGCGCGCAAATAGGAAACACTTTTGTGTCCACATGAATAGTACAGCTGCAGCCACTGTGCTGGTATACCCTTGTAACATTTTAAACCCTACTTTTAGAAGCAGCCATTTGAGGGACACATGGAAAGGATGGAGGCTGGAAAGACCCTGTTAAGCACATGAGTATTTAGACCTTTATGAATATTATAGCTACTGTTTATGCATTCACTATGGCCTAAATGTTGCCAACAGAGAACAGGTTGCCTTTCAGTTCTTTAAAAAGAGCCAAATTCCTTCTGTACAGATACAAAACCTGCACATTTCAAAGTTTTTCCAATGTAGCTTTAATATTAAGTAGTCATTTTCACTGGGCAGAGGCTCCGGAGTATTCCTTTAGGGCTCTTTGGACCAGTCACAAGTTTTCATTAACCGAAATCTTGCTTTACATAAAACTGTCAGCCCAAATTTCCATAAAGCTGCCTGGTGAGAACACACTATACTGTAATTCACAACTCCAAGAAGTCTCTGGGGTGACACTTTGGTCTCTATTTTTGTATAATTAAGTATTTAATCAATACATCCACATCATTTTAAGACAACCAAATCCATCAGGCTAACACTGAAATGAACAGGCTTAGTACAGACATTATGGATTTTACATTTTATTACTGACCTAGCCTTATTTCTATTGGACATTTCCAACACTAGCTTCAGTATCAGGACCAAGCAAACATGCTAACAAACTGTTTGTAAATGCAACTGTTAAGCTATAGTTGTGTTACCTCACACTAGTTCTGGCCAACTGTTTTAGCAATCCAGTTAACACAAGAAAGCAAAGGCATCCAGACAATACCTACTCTTCCCCTTAAACAGAATCGTCTGCACCAGGACCTGGGAGAAGCATTCAGGCTGTTATTCTAGTTCAAAGCAATGAAAAATAAGAAGAGAACAGAAGGAGTAGTAAAAAAATAGTTTCCAGCTGCTAAAAGGAAAGATGCACAGAAGACAACATGAACAAAAATAGGTTAACACATTAGCTGTGTGAATATTACTCTAACTAAAAACAGGAATTTTAAAACTAATGCAAGAGTGCTTATCCACCACACCTAAGGATAAGAAGACAGACATCTCACCAATCATTAAGCATCCCCCGAGGGATGTTTTCTAAATTACTTCCCCCTACCTCAAGGCAGGAGACTATCCAAGTTCTGCCATAAAGTCTATTTCCATCCAAGATAGATCTATGAGAAAATCCTCTTTCAAGATAATTTGTAGCTTGATAAGATAAAGGTTGCACAGAAACTAACCCCAATAAGGAAGATAAATGTGAAGAGCCTGGTGGCACCTGATGCTGAATCACACAAGATTAATCTAATCAAGCAGTAGTGAAAATCTTCAAGAATCAGTAGACCACCACATGCAACAGACTTAGTATTCTGGAGTGAAAAACAAACAGAAGACTTTTTAAAAAAAAACCCGGCAGCCCAGCCTGAGATACAAGGAAAAGAAACTAATTCCCTTCCTCTCTCCATTTCTAAACAGTACCTTCCCAAACTGATGTGAAGGTCTGACACTCTTACAGTAATCTGCACTAACCCAGAAAGTAGACACACAGAGCTCACTCAACTAATACCACAGCACACAAGAAATCAAAATGGGAGAAAAGTAAACCCATGACTAATATCTTTGTAATTCTCAGAGACAATATTATCTTTCACAACTAAAAGATTAAAAAAAATCAGAATTCTGCAAGAAGGTAAGCTTTTTGCATTATACAAGTTATATTAATTAATACACACTGGCCAAAATTCTGTTGCTTTGTGTAGTAAATTGCAATAGTGTAAGCCAACTGAATCAAGGGAGATTTGATGAGTCAACTCCTCCATTCATTCCAATTATTTAAATGGGCCTACTCTAACTATTAGAGACCAAACTGCTAACATGCGCTGGATTATGAAGAAAGCCAGAGAGTTCCAGAAAAACATCTACTTCTGCTTCATTGACGGCGCAAAAGCCTTTCACTGCGTGGACCACAGCAAACTACGACAAGTTCTTAAAGAAATGGGAGTGCCTGACCACCTTATCTATCTCCTAAGAAATCTATATGCGGGACAGGAAGCAACAGTTAGAATTGGATATGGAACAACTGACTGGTTCAAAATTGGGAAAGGAGTACGACAAGGCTGTAAATTGTCCCCCCCCCCTTATTTAATGCATTAATTTTATGCAGAATACATCATGCGAAAGGCCGGACTGGAGAATCCCAAACTGGAATTAAGATTGCCGGAAGAAATATCAACAACCTC